TTTTGTGACGAAATTTACAAATTTGTACCCTGTTCAGGTGTTGAAATTTTGCCAATGTTAACATATCACTGCCATATAATAATTTATATGACCGGCGTATGGTTGAAATATTGTTAATTGATCCATAGTACGTAATATAGGGTGTTTAAGTTGGTATACTAATATTTACTCAATTTCACACATGTTGAGATATCATACAAATTTATGTGACTAAATTTACCTATTTCTGCCTTCTGTATTTGTATTTGCCTATAACAATTTAATATGTGAACAATTCCAAACTCATTCAGCTCACAAAATAATGCTAGACTATTCGGCATTTCTTGTCAGGATGTCATAAACATCCCTCATATAAATTTCTTAAATGTGTGACGGAGTTTACATGGTGCTACCATTTAACGAAAAAAGTCGCTAAATATGTAGATAATAGTCATATGCAACTATCCTATAAATTTGAAATTCGAAAATTTGGTCAAACACGGCTACAAGGGGTCCATATAAACTCTGTCACGTTTTTATAGTGTGACAAAGTTTACAACTCACTGCCGGCCGCATTTAAGCGATATCTTATCGTCTGATAAAGATATCGTTATGCGACAAAGTTTATCTAGAGGATGAAACGATTATCCTAACCATTGAGGGTTTATATAGTTTTATAGTGTGACACATTTTACATCATCATGCCATTTAGTAGGGTCACTAATATTTACCAATATCCTCAAACTTCAATGAACGTGTCCATATATCAGATTAGTACAGAGAAATCCGTCTGAAAAATCGATCTGCCGACACACAAAGCTTACAAAGGATTTTTGACGTTTTTAAGTCGTTATAGGTGTCCTTTACGGCTGACCAACTTTTCCAAACTTTTTCACGTTTTTAAGGCCACTTTTTGCCATTTTACCACTTTTTACCACCTTTCTTGTTTGTCAAATATCTTTAGTTGTGAACATAATAGAAACTTGCAGATTAATCGAGTGTGTTCGTATTAACAGAAAGAAGAACATTTTGTAGACAATTTTTACCTCAGATAATTAATTAATTGGATAATTATCAATTAGCTAATTAGCAAAAATGAAATTTTTTTATTGGCTCAAAATGATTGGAATAGCTTAAAACACGGAGAAAATTAGTTTTTAGAAAAAATTTTCCTCCAAAAGTTATCAAATTGCATAAAACGTGGAGAAAAATGCTTTTAAAAAACTTCGTGATTTTTTTTCAAGAATACTAAAATCACCAGTATATTTAAAGTCACTATTGTGACGGTACATTAGAACTAAACAGAAACAAAGTGTGAAGGGCCTGAACGGAACCCCTCGGTTTCAGTTCCTTGTTTAACACTGCCGTACAGCAAGGACATCCACCGGGTTCTCCAAGGATGGGCACATAGCTCACTCCACACTATGTTCTGTCAAATGTTGCTTATATACCAAGGATCTACAGGAAATATATAGTTGGAGTTCAGTAAATATTGGCAGATTTTAGTATTCAGGAATTACTAAATGGAAATAAATAAAAGGGCTGAAACTGAAAAACGTTAACCACAGGAAATTAGAGTTTTATAATTAATTACAGTACATCCTTATCGATTTTCACAGAAACTGCACCAAAGCACATTGAAGATCGAACTGATAGCCTGTTATACTACGATAATCATTAATCGCATAATATGTAATAAATAAAACCTCTCTTAGTCTGTACCGTCGATCGTGCTAATCTGAACTGGCCTACCTGGATTGCCATTTACCTCTTCTTTTCCTCAATAATTCGACCGAGTTGTGCAAGAAATGTGATTTATCATATAAATCACATTTCACAACTAAAGATATTTGACAAACAAGAAAGGTGGTAAAAAGTGGTGAAGTGGCAAAAAGTGGCCTTAAGACACGTGGAAAAGTTTGGAAAAGTTGGTCTGCCATAAAGGACACCTATTACGACTCAAAAACGTAAAAAATCCTTTGTAAGCTTTGTGTATTTTTCAGACGGATTTCTCTGTACTAGATGTAATTTCGACTTTAATTCTAGCCAAAGCAAATTTTTCGCTAATTAGTTAACTTTTCCTTCCTGATAATATGAACACCCTCGATTAATTCGCAACTTTTTACGATGTTCACAACTAAAGTCAAAGATATTTGACAAACAAGAAAGGTGGTAAAAAGTGGTGAAGTGGCAAAAAGTGGCCTTAAGACACCTATTAGTACTCAAAAACGTCAAAAATCCTTTGTAAGCTTTGTGTGTTTTTCAGACGGATTTCTCTGTACTAGATGTAATTTCGAATTGGGGGCCGAAGCAACCCCCCCCCCCCCCCCGAGTCCCAGCCTTACCTTCAATTGTGTAGATATTCTGTCGGCCACCTCGTCCGTAAAGTCCTGTAAGAACTGTTTGGAAACCTTGCCCATAACTCCCTTGTCGAAAGGTGACACCAAGGCGGTACTACAAGTGGTAGCTACTACCGTCATCAACATCAGCTGTATGATCATTTCTGCTTCTTTCGGGACTCGTGTTACGTTAAGGAATATCAGCGCTAATAAAGGGTATAACAGTAAATACAACGAGGATTGTAATCGTGCTTAAAGTATAAACTTGGACAGATCAATGATCATGCGCTGAGCAAATACCAAACAGATTAAATGGTTGCAGAATACGGATAAAGTTATGACCAATTTAAGTAACTTGGTTCTGCAAATCTAAAGCTCTGCGAATTTATCAGCAGCAGAAAAATTTATAACATGTCGTTAACATGAACTCTAGAATTGAGACTACATAATAATACAATATAAACCATACTTATCCCCGTTTTAAACAATTAAAATCACTACAAAGAACTGGTTTTATTATATACTAGGAGAACTCCCCTCTTCTCCACCCAGGTGCACTCCACTTGAAGCATTATAGGCAACCTTCCGAAGTCCCTTATCTTCTTTCTTTCCCTTCCTTCTCTCACAGCAGAACAGCAAGCCCAGAGCAATAGAGACTACCATTAATAGCCCTGTGGTACAAGCTAGTACCGGCACTAAGATAAGTTTACTAGTGACTGCATACAATTGTTCCCTCATTACCTTTAGTTGCACTTCTTTTTGGTTCAGCTTTGTCTCCGTTTTGTTCAACTGTGTCTCTGTCTGGTTCAGCTGTGTAACTGTGTTAGAAAGCTGGTCTGTAGTTTGCTCAAATTTAGCTCTAACCTCATCAAGCTCAGATGACTTCTTCAACAGTTCCCCTTCTACAAACTGGAGTTTCTTTTCAAGTGCACATGTTTCGATAATTTCACCCACATCACCAGTTCTTGATTGCTGCAGAATTTGTTCCCACTTTAGCTTACGAGTTTCATCGTGTTTCTTCTCAATATCAGAGCAACGTCCTGCAGAGTACAGTTTGCTCACTTCAGATGAACTCAGCCTCGTGGAAAAGACGTTTAACTTGTAAAGTTCATCACCGAAAGCTTGACTGGATTGAAATGATCCACCGTAAGAATCCTGATCTTGCCCCAAAACAAGATATCCACCTGCAGTCAGTCTCCTTCCTGAAGGAGTTGAGAAGGAACCTGTTTGTCTGCCGTTGTGGTGAATTGTGGCTGTCAGGGAAGCAAGACTCCAACATAAACAATAATGATACCACTCTCCTACTGCAACACCGGCCTGACTTTTTACATTTTTGTTATAACTATAGAATATGATGTTTTCGGCTCCGTCATCCTCAATGAAAATCTCGTTGTGATTTGAATTGCTAATCGCGTACGAGAACCAGGTTGGGCCGGGTCCAACTCTTAATTTCCTTATCCAAGAACACACAGAAAACGCTCCGGAGAAGGGTTGCATGTTGGGTTTAAACTTGATAAAATCTCCCATAGTGCTCCCAAACTTAAGTACCTTGTAGGATTTGTCATCTGCAGTAGTAGATATTATCAGGACAGTCAGGATCATCACTTGACAGGACAACTTCATCTTTAGAGTTCGCTCTTATAACAGTCTTCGGATTAATATTATGGGAAATATGTAGCTGTGAAAGTAAAAAATAACAAAGGAATGGCCTTAAAACGTCAGATGATGTTAGTGATAAGAAATGAAGGCTACGTTGTGAATTGCGATTGATTTACTGTGTGAGTATTATGCGAGAATACGTGGCTCCTGAAACTCGAAACTCGAAACTCGAAATTCAGAATCACATTATAGGTAATGGTTAGGACGGATTCTTGATCTGTAGGTGGCTTTTTCTTATAGAATAAGATTAAGTTGGGAGACCTGGCACGATAGAATGCTCATAATATGAAAGATCACGTTGAATCTTCATCAGTTTTAAATACAGATTGCAGTACGGAAAATCCATATTTTAGTGCAACATCAGGACAGTGGAACGAAATTACATTATATGGGACTAGAAAGCCCGTGGTAACAGGCACGAAGCTAGTAGTATTCTTTGAAAGAAAGTTTTAATCGCATCAAAAAATATCCATCTCAACCGAAGATACAGCCGATTTAAATATAAAACACTTTAAACACAACGTAATTACCACAAAACCGATCAAAATGACGTTAAAACAATCTTTGCACGTGCATGTGTGCATTAAAACACCGTTGCTATGGAACCTTTTGGTTGTTACATAAATTCCTATTTTTCATCTAATTTGCACGTGGGCGGTCGTACAAACAACAAAAACAATTCTCTGAATTATAGTAGAGATACATAATGAAATGCACCCCTTACCAGAACTTCGACTTTCTTTTAAGCAAAATAATCAACTTTTTTCAAGGATACATTCCGGAAACTTTAATTGCATGAAATTTAAAGAAATAAACGCTGAAGTTATTTTATTCCAGCTTAAAATTCAAAAACCATTAATGATGAATCACCACTTATATTTAAATTCATTCTATTAAGTAGTACTCTAGAAAAATCACTTAGTTCAGTTATGTCCGGATAACTGTAATGTTTGATATCGGACCCTAACTGATCAGTTCATAAGTCCTCAAACTAGTAATCTCCATTTTATTGCGTCCCGTTTTCTACTGAAGGTTGATGGTGATATCATCAGCAGATACGATGATATAATCCTCTCTGTAACTGATATCTGCCCTCCCCACTGTCATATACTCCTCAGGGATGTTTAGAGGGATCCCACTCTGCAAATCGTCCTCCAGCACCCTCGCCAGTTTCTCCTCCAGCACCGAGTTGAGGAGACTCTCGATCCCTTCCAGTATCAAGTTATCCTCCTCCAGTCTCCTTTGTTCGGACATCGTCATTCCGTCCATCTCCGCTCCAATGTAGAGTTTCCCAGTCCATATATCTACATTTGCTGTCACGTTGGGGACTAGCGAGTATCCCCCGTCCTTCTTTACCATCCTCATTGTTCCTATCCAATTAGTCAGGGACTCGAACTCCGTTCTAATCTCAAGTTTCGGGTCATCACTGCTCAGAGTGAGCCGTGCTCTGAGGTGAACCAATACGGAGATACGGTCGTCGGTGATGCTTACTTCCGGGAGTGCAGTGCTGCTGATCTTCACGGTCTTCCTGTTAAATCCAGCCAGGATCCGTCCCTCGTTTTCAGGGAACTCTACACTCACTGTATCTATACGCTGGCCATTGCGCAACACATCGAAAGTCGTTCTACTCCCCTCAGTGCCTGTCTCTACCAAAGAAAACTTGAGTAAGTCGAAGTGGTGTAGGTTCTGGATGCCTCTAGAGATGAGGTCCTTCGTGAGGATGATGGAGACCCCACTGTTAGGACCTGGAACCACTCCACACCAGTCTCTAGCCCGTCTCTTCTTTCTAGCTGGTTCCTCGGTGGCAGGGAGGTGGATAAAGGGAGGTGTGACAATTTGTGTGGTGTCTGGTACTCCTGTCAGTTCTATAACTGCGGGTGTAGAGATAACAGCACAGCTAGGTCCCCCTGTTATAACTGACGGGTTTAAGTCCACTTTCAGTTCTCCTCCTGATTGTAATGGCATCGAAAAGTCCTGGTTGAACATTGCATTGTCGAAGTTAGCTGCAGCTTCACCCACCACTTCATTCACTTTCTCGCAAATAGATCTCTCCAAATCTCTCTTCAGATCCTTTTCAAAGATCCACACAATGAAGTTAAGAAGCCAGGCGTACCAGGAACCTGAAATGTTAATGTCGAGAGATCCCATACTCGACCTACAAGAACCCGAGTCATGTGAGAACCCAACTTTTCCGTTCGACTTTACCCCAAGATTGACCCTGTCTGAGATACTAAACCCATTTGAGCTAACTTGAACTCCTCCACCAAATGTCACGGAGTACCACCAGGACCTCTTGTTGTAACTCCAGCTCCCTGAGGCTCTTATAGTCCCTCGAATACTCGCGTCCACAACAAGTTGACCTGTTCCACGGAGGGTGATGGAGGGGTTGAGGGTGAGGGTGGTTACTCTCACTCCCCAGTACTTGAACGAATGGCCACTTCCACTGTCACTTCCACTGAATGATTTTCCCTGGTGGGGTTAACAAATATTAAAATTACCTGATTGCATGACATTATGATCACAAAATTTCTTAAGACTGATTTGAATTTGTATAATATTTCGAATATATCAGATTAGCACAGAGAAATCCGTCTGAAAAATCGATCTGCCGACACACAAAGCTTACAAAGGATTTTTGACGTTTTTAAGTCGTTATAGGTGTCCTTTATGGCTGACCAACTTTTCCAAACTTTTTCACGTTTTTAAGGCCACTTTTTGCCACTTTACCACTTTTTACCACCTTTCTTGTTTGTCAAATATCTTTAGTTGTGAACATCATAGAAAGTTGCAGATTAATCGAGTGTGTTCGTATTATCAGAAAGAAAAAAATTTTGTAGACAATTTTTACCTCAGATAATTAATTAATTGGATAATTATCAATTAGCTAATTAGCAAAAATAAAATTTTTTTATTGGCTCAAAATGATTGGAATAGCTTAAAACACGGAGAAAATTAGTTTTTAGAAAAAATTTTCCTCCAAAAGTTATCAAATTGCATAAAACGTCGAGAAAAATGCTTTTAAAAAAACTTCGTGATTTTTTTTTTCAAGAATACTAAAATCACCAGTATATTTAAAGTCACTATTGTGACGGTACATTAGAACTAAACAGAAACAAAGTGTGAAGGGCCTGAACGGAACCCCTCGGTTTCAGTTCCTTGTTTAACACTGCCGTACAGCAAGGACATCCACCGGGTTCTCCAAGGATGGGCACATAGCTCACTCCACACTATGTTCTGTCAAATGTTGCTTATATACCAAGGATCTACAGGAAATATATAGTTGGAGTTCAGTAAATATTGGCAGATTTTAGTATTCAGGAATTACTAAATGGAAATAAATAAAAGGGCTGAAACTGAAAAACGTTAACCACAGGAAATTAGAGTTTTATAATTAATTACAGTACATCCTTATCGATTTTCACAGAAACTGCACTAAAGCACATTGAAGATCGAACTGATAGCCTGCTATACTACGATAATCATTAATCGCATAATATGTAATAAATAAAACCTCTCTTAGTCTGTACCGTCGATCGTGCTAATCTGAACTGGCCTATCTGGATTGCCATTTACCTCTTCTTTTCCTCAATAATTCGACCGAGTTGTGCAAGAAATGTGATTTATCATATATGATATAAATCACATTTCACAACTAAAGATATTTGACAAACAAGAAAGGTGGTAAAAAGTGGTGAAGTGGCAAAAAGTGGCCTTAAGACACGTGGAAAAGTTTGGAAAAATTGGTCTGCCATAAAGGACACCTATTACGACTCAAAAACGTCAAAAATCCTTTGTAAGCTTTGTGTGTTTTTCAGACGGATTTCTCTGTACTAGATGTAATTTCGACTTTAATTCTAGCCAAAGCAAATTTTTCGCTAATTAGTTAACTTTTCCTTCCTGATAATATGAACACCCTCGATTAATTCGCAACTTTTTACGATGTTCACAACTAAAGTCAAAGATATTTGACAAACAAGAAAGGTGGTAAAAAGTGGTGAAGTGGCAAAAAGTGGCCTTAAGACACCTGTTAGTACTCAAAAACGTCAAAAATCCTTTGTAAGCTTTGTGTGTTTTTCAGACGGATTTCTCTGTACTAGATGTAATTTCGACTTGGGGGCCGAAGCAACCCCCCCCCCCCCCCCCCCCCGAGTCCCAGCCTTACCTTCAATTGTGTAGATATTCTGTCGGCCACCTCGTCCGTAAAGTCCTGTAAGAACTGTTTGGAAACCTTGCCCATAACTCCCTTGTCGAAAGGTGACACCAAGGCGGTACTACAAGTGGTAGCTACTACCGTCATCAACATCAGCTGTATGATCATTTCTGCTTCTTTCGGGACTCGTGTTATTTTAAGGAATATCAGCGCTAATAAAGGGTATAACGGTAAATACAACGAGGATTGTAATCGTGCTTAAAGTATAAACTTGGACAGATCAATGATCATGCGCTGAGCAAATACCAAACAGATTAAATGGTTGCAGAATACGGATAAGTTTATGACCAATTTAAGTAACTTGGTTCTGCAAATCTAAAGCTCTGCGAATTTATCAGCAGCAGAAAAATTTATAACATGTCGTTACATGAACTCTAAAATTGAGACTACCTTAATTCCCAAAAATTTGGGCGACAAAAAATTTGAGCGGGCCTCTCGCCCAAATTTTTTGCAGACCAAATTAATAGCATAAATCTTTTCCGTCTGCTAAATTTTTTGCTAACCAAACTTTTGGCATTTGGCCTGTGGCCCTGAAATCTATAGAAAGATGGCTTTTTCTTCATATTCAAGTGAAATAATATTTAAAATTTTAGTTTTCTAATCTGTCATTCATGGCTTGACCAAGTAAAAAGGATTGAAAGCAAAATGACTGGAATAATAAGGAATAATAATGAACTAAGGCAAATATCTAACTGAAATTTTAGTGGAAAATCGTTCATTTTTCGAAGAATTTGTGCCCAAATTTTCGGTCGCCCAAATGAGTTCAAATTTTTTGCCCAAATTTTTCGGGCTCAAATAAATTGTGCTCAATATAATGGCACACAAATTTTTGGGAACTAAGGTACATAATAATACAATATATACCATACTTATCCCCGTTTTAAACAATTAAAATCACTACAAAGAACTGGTTTTATTAAATACTAGGAGAACTCCCCTCTTCTCCACCCAGGTGCACTCCACTTGAAGCATTATAGGCAACCTTCCGAAGTCCCTTATCTTCTTTCTTTCCCTTCCTTCTCTCACAGCAGAACAGCAAGCCCAGAGCAATAGAGACTACCATTAATAGCCCTGTGGTACAAGCTAGTACCGGCACTAAGATAAGTTTACTAGTGACTGCATACAATTGTTCCCTCATTACCTTTAGTTGCACTTCTTTTTGGTTCAGCTTTGTCTCCGTTTTGTTCAACTGTGTCTCTGTCTGGTTCAGCTGTGTAACTGTGTTAGAAAGCTGGTCTGTAGTTTGCTCAAATTTAGCTCTAACCTCATCAAGCTCAGATGACTTCTTCAACAGTTCCCCTTCTACAAACTGGAGCTTCTTTTCAAGTGCACATGTTTCGATAATTTCACCCACATCACCAGTTCTTGATTGCTGCAGAATTTGTTCCCACTTTAGCTTACGAGTTTCATCGAGTTTATTCTCAATATCAGAGCAACGTCCTGCAGATTACAGTTTGCTCACTTCAGATGAACTCAGCTTCGTGGAAAAGACGTTTAACTTGTAAAGTTCACCACCGAAAGCTTGACTGGATTGAAATGATCCACCGTAAGAATCCTGATCTTGCCCCAAAACAAGATATCCATCTGCAGTCAGTCTCCTTCCTGAAGGAGTTGAGAAGGAACCTGTTTGTCTGCCGTTGTGGTGAATTGTGGCTGTCAGGGAAGCAAGACTCCAACATAAACAATAATGAAACCACTCTCCTACTGCAACACCAGCCTGACTTTTTACATTTTTGTTATAACTATAGAATATGATGTTTTCGGCTCCGTCATCCTCAATGAAAATCTCGTTGTGATTTGAATTGCTAATTGCGTACGAGAACCAGGTTGGGCCGGGTCCAACTCTTAATTTCCTTATCCAAGAACACACTGAAAACGCTCCGGAGAAGGGTTGCATGTTGGGTTTAAACTTGATAAAATCTCCCATAGTGCTCCCAAACTTGAGTACCTTGTAGGATTTGTCATCTGCAGTAGTAGATATTATCAGGACAGTCAGGATCATCACTTGACAGGACAATTTCATCTTTAGAGTTCGCTCTTATAACAGTCTTCGGATTAATATTATGGGAAATATGTAGCTGTGAAAGTAAAAAATAACAAAGGAATGGCCTTAAAACGTCAGATGATGTTAGTGATAAGAAATGAAGGCTACGTTGTGAATTGCGATTGATTTACTGTGTGAGTATTATGCGAAAATACGTGGCTCCTGAAACTCGAAACTCGAAACTCGAAATTCAGAATCACATTATAGGTAATGGTTAGGACGGATTCTTGATCTGTAGGTGGCTTTTTCTTATAAAACAAGATTAAGTTGGGAGACCTGGCACGATAGAATGCTCATAATATGAAAGATCACGTTGAATCTTCATCAGTTTTAAATACAGATTGCAGTACGGAAAATCCATATTTTAGCTTTTTAGTGCAACATCAGGACAGTGGAACGAAATTACATTATATGGGACTAGAAAGCCCGTGGTAACAGGCACGAAGCTAGTAGTATTCTTTGAAAGAAAGTTTTAATCGCATCAAAAAATATCCATCTCAACCGAAGATACAGCCGATTTAAATATAAAACACTTTAAACACAACGTAATTACCACAAAACCGATCAAAATGACGTTAAAACAATCTTTGCATGTGCATGTGTGCATTAAAACACCGTTGCTATGGAACCTTTTGGTTGTTACCTAAATTCCTATTTTTCATCTAATTTGCACGTGGGCGGTCGTACAAACAACAAAAACAATTCTCTGAATTATAGTAGAGATACATAATGAAATGCACCCCTTACCAGAACTTCGACTTTCTTTTAAGCAAAATAATCAACTTTTTTCAAGGATACATTCCGGAAACTTTAATTGCATGAAATTTAAAGAAATAAACGCTGAAGTTATTTTATTCCAGCTCAAAATTCAAAAACCATTAATGATGAATCACCACTTATATTTAAATTCATTCTATTAAGTAGTACTCTAGAAAAATCACTTAGTTCAGTCTAGTTATGTCCGGATAACTGTAATGTTTGATATCGGACCCTAACTGATCAGTTCATAAGTCCTCAAACTAGTAATCTCCATTTTCTTGCGTCCCGTTTTCTACTGAAGGTTGATGGTGATATCATCAGCAGATACGATGATATAATCCTCCCTGTAACTGATATCCGCCCTCCCCACTGTCATATACTCCTCAGGGATGTTTAGAGGGATCCCACTCTGCAAATCGTCCTCCAGCACCCTCGCCAGTTTCTCCTCCAGCACCGAGTTGAGGAGACTCTCGATCCCCTCCAGTATCAAGTTATCTTCTTCCAGTCTCCTTTGTTCGGACATCGTCATTCCGCCCATCTCCGCTCCAATGTAGAGTTTCCCAGTCCATATATCTACATTTGCTGTCACGTTGGGGACTAGCGAGTATCCCCCGTCCTTCTTTACCATCCTCATTGTTCCTATCCAATTAGTCAGGGACTCGAACTCCGTTCTAATCTCAAGTTTTGGGTCATCACTACTCAGAGTGACCCGTGCTCTGAGGTGAACCAATACGGAGATACCGTTGTCGGTGATGCTTACTTCCGGGAGTTCAGTGCTGCTGATCTTCACGGTCTTCCTGTTAAATCCAGCCAGGATCCGTCCCTCGTTTTCAGGGAACTCTACACTCACTGTATCTATACGCTGGCCATTGCGCAACACATCGAAAGTCGTTCTACTCCCCTCAGTGCCTGTCTCTACCAAGGAAAACTTGAGTAAGTCGAAGTGGTGTAGATTCTGGATACCTCTAGAGATGAGGTCCTTCGTGAGGATGATGGAGACCCCACTGTTAGGACCTGGAACCACTCCACACCAGTCTCTAGCCTGTCTCTTCTTTCTAGCTGGTTCCTCGGTGGCAGGGATGTGGATAAAGGGAGGTGTGACAATTTGTGTGGTGTCTGGTACTCCTGTCAGTTCTATAACTGCGGGTGTAGAGATAACAGCACAGCTAGGTCCCCCTGTTATTACTGATGGGTTAAGGTCCACTTTCAGTTCTCCTCCTGATTGCAATGGCAACGAAAAGTCCTGGTTGAACATTGCATTGTCGAAGTTAACTGCAGCTTCACCCAACACTTCATTTGCTTTCTCACAAGCAACTTCCTCCAAATCTCCCTTCAGATCATCTTCAAAGATCCACACAATCATGTTAAGAATCCAGCTGTACCAGGAACCTGTAATGTTAATGTCGAGAGATCCCATACTCGACCTACAAGAACCCGAGTCATGTGAGAACCCAACTTTTCCGTTCGACTTCACCCCAAGATTGACCCTGTTTGAGATACTAAACCCATTTGAACTAACGTGAACTCCTCCATCAAGTGTCACGGAGTACCACCAGGACCTCTTGTTGTACTTCCAGCTCCCTGAGGCTCTTATAGTCCCTCCCATACTCGCGTCCACAACAAGTTGACCTGTTCCACTAGTGGGACTGCCATCATTACGGAGGGTGATGGAGGGGTTGAGGGAGAGGGAGGTTACTCTCACTCCCCAATAATTGAATGTTCCCCCACTTCCACTGTCACTTCCACTGAATGATGTTTCCTGGTGGGGTTAACAAATATTAAAATCACTTGATCATGACATTATGATCACATAATTTCCTAAGACTGTTATGAATTTGTATAATATTTCGAATATATCAGATGTAATTTCGACTTCAATTCTAGCCAAAGCACCCCCCCCCCCCCCCCCCCCCCCCCGAGTCCCATCCCTACCTTCAATTGTGTAGATATTATGTCGGCCACCTCGTCCGTAAAGTCCTGTAAGAACTGTTTGGAAACCTTGCCCATAACTCCTATGTCGAAAGGTGACACCAAGGCGGTACTACAAGTGGTAGCTACTACCGTCATCAACATCAGCTGTATGATCATTTCTGCTTCTTTTATTTGGGGACTCGTGTTACTTTAAGGAATATCAGCGCTAATAAACGGTATAACGGTAAATACAACGAGGATTGTAATCGTGCTTAAAGTATAAACTTGGACAGATCATGCGCTGAGCAAATACCAAACAGATTAAATGGTTGCAGAATACGGATAAGTTTATGACCAATTTAAATAACTTGGTTCCAAATCTAAAGCTCTGCGAATTTATCAGCAGCAGACAATTTTATAACATGTCGTTAACATGAACTCTAGAATTGAGACTATTGGTAACAGTAAGGGAGCATGTTCTTTATCGCACAGCAGACCCAGAAATTCATTTCACAGACTGTCCGAGATCTAATTAAACAGTTTCCGTATAGATAATTTGTTCATTATTGACTTGTAATATACATATTGTCAGTGATTGATAAGGATTTGGCATCTTCTTATTGGATTTTTCTCAATTTCTAACAGCACGTGTTTTTATTGAATTAATTTCTTCATCCCAGAATAATTAAAATTAATGGAATATTCCATTTATTTCTCAAGGATAATCACCTTTAGATAACAAAAATCAAGAAAAGGTAAATATGATACAGTTCATGGCTTATTCGATATATTTGTTTAATACGTATATTTTATATTTATTGCAATTGTAAACCAGTTTTTTTCAGGAACAACTGAAGTAAAGCGTGGTTAAACTTGAAGTTGTACATTGTAACTGTAAGAGATAAGTTTTTCAAAACATCAGCTTTCCAGAAAGAGGAAGAACTGCATCAGTTCCTCAGTGAACTATGAGTGGTCACATTATTGTTATGATGACGTCACGTTATTGTTATGATGATGTCACGTTCGTTACTGTTTTGATGACGCCACGTTATTGTAAGAATACAAATAATTTAAGAAGCTTCAATCTGCTGGGGCCAGGGACAAAAGGAAATCGCGGCATGTGCGGAATCGCGATTTTTCCCATTATTTGCGACAAATTTTATGTATAGTCTTATGTATCATGCAGTATAGTCTGTTAAAAATCGCGGTATCGCGATTTTTGGGCAAAATAATCGCGATTTTCTTTTGACCCTGTGCTGGGCAGGACATTCGTCATTCAAGTCAGTCAAGAACTGTTCATAGAATAAAATGCTAAGGACGTAGATATGAAGCATATAAATGAAATACAGTCAAAATTTAATTGTAGGAAATTATGAAAGCACATTAAAGTTCGACAGGGTTGATTTCTGGCGAACTTAAGTTGGTGAACTAGAGTTCGAATCTTGTCAGATACTTGTCACAAACGTCGTCGGATCTATAGTTCTTGATTTGCGTGTTATTGACAATATCGAACAGTGGGACCGCTTTTAAAAACTTACTGGGCCGGGGCGGTGAGAGCACCTTTGATTTGATTCACGATGTCAAGCCTTCGCATCTCGCCGATCTGCATACGTGGTTGCGAGAAGCATTATTGGATGCGCGCGCGCGACCCAGTAGTGCATCGCGCTACAAACCTTTGATCTAAGCGAGGTACTGGCCGGGGAGTGGTTTGATTATTTTTAAGAAGGAAAAAGGAATTCCGATAATTTCTAAGTTCTTTTATTTTCTTATTTTGTATATTCTTTGTCAGTGCAGTTTTTTTGTTCATTTTGGGTTAAATTGACTACAATACCAATTAAAGGTTAGTAATCAAGAGTCTAGTGGGGTTACATTTGATTCAATGTTAAATTGTAGTTAAATTGTAACTAAAGCTGCCAAGTTGTAAATTTTTAAAATTAAATGAAAATTAGGCGTTTCCCGGATAATCGGTTAACTGTCAAGATAATTGACGGATGTTGCTCGTCTAAATTTCTTCGAAGTAGCGCGCGCCGCTTTCTTCTCGAAATGTAGCGCGCGCCGGGTCTGATCATTAACAATGGTCAATTAAGATAAGCAATAAGGAGGAAATTTTTATATAACATTGTTCATGAACCAATTTGTGCTGCACGATGTATAATCGAAACTCAAAAGTAATGAATTTTTCAAATTCAAGCGTACTGATCCATTCCCAGGAAACCTAGCTTACCGGCTAGGGCCTAACTTCTAAAGTAAAAGAGATATAGAGACTTCCGGTTTTTTGCAAAATGTTC